CGTAAAAGCCTCGAAATCCAGTGTGTCTCTCAGGGTTTGAGTAGTCTGCGAGAAAGGAAACAGAGAGACAACCTCCAGAGAAGGAGTTGATCGAAGGGTTGATAGACGACTGCAGCTCCTTCATGGACTTGCGTCCACACAGATTAAAAAGCAGCGTATCATCTGCAAATATCTGGACAAAAATTGTTGTCACTTACAAAGTATAACAAAATATATTTACAAAATATTTACAAAATATAATATATAACCTTTTAATTTCCACACACTCCCTTTAACATAAAACACTTCTAAGTGTGCACAGATACACAGAAAAACCTCTTTCAAACACACCTTCAAGGAATCGTCCTCACACTTAAAGCTTTCTTCCAGGTCCAAATGTACGAGAGTGAGTGTGATTTTGTGTCCGGTTGGAGCACACTCTTTCCAAGTCAGGTTGGAATCGGGGTCATACCCTCGTGGGTGTCCAGGAGACTGCACCCATCCAGTCAACGGCACTGACCCACAAACGGGAAGGAGCAGGACAATAACACTGGACAGGGTGGGGGAAAGTCAGAGATAAACAAATTCATAATGGAGAAAGTAGAGTATAAATTAATAAAGCAGAAAAAACAAGGATGGACAAGAACAAACCCTGAGGAGATAGATAGATAGATAGATAGATAGATAGATAGATAGATAGATAGATAGATAGATAGATAGATAGATAGATAGATAGATAGATAGATAGATAGATAGATAGATAGATAGATAGATAGATAGATAGATAGATAGATAGATAGATAGATAGATAGATAGATAGATAGATAGATAGATAGATAGATAGATCACAGATAATGATCAGATACAGATGACATCATTGAATAGATAGATATATAGTCCATGCAATATTTGGTTAGCTGAAAAATTACTACAAGAGAAATACATACCAGAAAACAATCATGATGAGAAGTGTTAAAATATAACTCGCTCTCTCTTGTTTCGGCACTTTCACTTTCATGCTCTGTTTGCATCATCATGTCCCAGCCCCCTTTTCCCCTAAAAACAGTCAACATACTTGAGTGTATGAGTGTTTCTCAACATCTGTCAGTGGGCGTTCACCCTGAACTGACGTAAAGTGTAGCGGAGATGTTCTGGCTTTAAATGTTTAAATTTATTTAAATGTTTTATGTGTATTTTTAGTGTTAATGGAGTTCACAAAAATGAATTAACTATTTTCAATGTAAAAGTCAACGTCTTTACTAATATAAACAATATTTCAATTAACTTACAACTTGTGCGCAGTTACACAACAGATATGTGCAGCCAGAAATACATGGGCTACAGTCCAATGCTGAAATCCATGCTTGCTGTCCGACCTGAGTGCAAGTACACCCTCTGGTGTCAGAAATGAGGAACAGAGGAAAGTGAGGGTGAAGACAGAACAGCTGGAACAGATAAATGGGAAATGGAGAGAAAGAGAGGGAGAGAGAGAGAGAGAGGGGATGGCAGGTACAGAGGGGAAAGACAGAGATGGGGGCACAGAGGAAGAAGACGTTATCTGCACTCCATTGTTTGTATTTTTTTCCAACAACCATTTACCGTAACAAACACACAAAAAAGGTCAAATGGTGTCATTAAACATGTGAATTGAATTCTGATATGTCGTTTAACAGAGGTCTGCTACTGTACTATGTGAAATGTTTGATAGTGAAGTAACAATTTAGTTAATTTTGATTAGGTTGTGTAGATGTGCTAATGGGTTACACTTGACCTTTATTCAATGCAACAGAACATTTAACAATTACCTTACATGACCAATGCTAACATACTCCACAAATTATACTAAATTATTAATCCGTCTCATAGCTTGAATGAGCTAAGCAAGCTTTATATGATACACATCAAAGGAAGTAAAACAGAAAGTGTAACTATAGCTTTATTTAACAAAACCAAGGAAGTAAAATAGTTCACTATTACAGAGAGAAGTCTCTAGTGCAAGCCATGAATCTCACTTCTGTTGTTGTTGTTTTAGAGATGTTCGAGTTTGGCTTCTTCTTTATAAAATAAAATAAATACAAAAAACAGGGGAGCACATATAGTGTGCTAGGAAAAGCACTGAGTCTGATGAAAAGTTTGTATAAATAAATTATAGAAAATTTGTTAAAAAAAAGTAATACAATTTTGGAACCCTTTCATTTTTCATTTAATTCATCTACTTTCAAAAGGTGGGTTAAAAATCATGAGATAAATCACAATTTTTGTATTCTTTTGACAGCCATAGTTTTATGTTTCTTTTCAGGTGTTTACATCTAACAGTATTCTAATGGTGGGTAGAAAATTATACAATTTTGAAGTTGGCATGAAAGGGAAGTTGCAATAGACTTTTCTTCCCTATTGTCATATATCTAAGTTAAACAGCTTCTCGAATTTCTTTAAATATTTATTTATAATAAATACTGCAATATTAAAAAAAGAATTGAAAACAAGAATTGTCCATTTTGATTTCATTGTGACATTATTTGAAAGTAAATATTGTCTATATGCTATTTTACACATTCATATTTTTTCCACATAAATTGGACTATGTACATTAAAACATTTAGCTATAAAAATCTATTGTTTTCGGAAGGGGTTGATTATATTTTGATCTATGCTATATACCTCAGGTACAGTAACACCATGTTACCATTTAAATAAAGTGTATCTTTATGACACCAACAGTTCTTGTGTATGTATGCTATAAATATTTGATTATAGATGAGTTTATTCACATAACATGGGTCATTAAAACTTAAACACTAACCTAAACCTATATAACACTAACCTAAACCTATATTAGTGTATGTGTGTTCCAAAGACAGCACATTTTGTCTTAACACTTGAACGAGTTGCTTTCAACCAAGTATCATCTTTCCTGTCTCTGAACAACCAGCTGGATGTCAACCAATCTGGCTTCAAGAAAGGGCATTCAACCGAGACCGCATTACTATCGGTCACAGAAGCCCTGCGGATCGCAAAAGCTGCTTCCAAATCATCAGTTCTCATTCTCCTGGACCTGTCTGCTGCCTTCGACACTGTGAATCATCAGATCCTTCTGTCCACTCTCTCATCACTGGGCATCACTGGAACTGCCCTCCACTGGACCTATCTCACAGGTAGGTCCTTCAGGGTCGCATGGAGAGGTGAGGTATCCAAAGCACATGAACTGACCACAGGGGTTCCCCAGGGTTCAGTGCTTGGACCCCTCCTCTTCTCCATTTACACCACATCACTGGGACCCATCATACAGACACATGGTTTCTCTTACCATTGCTATGCTGATGACACTCAGCTCTACCTCTCATTTCAACCAGATGATCCCACAGTAGCTGCTCGAATCTCAAGCTGTCTGGCTGACATCTCGGCATGGATGAAGGAACATCACCTGCAGCTCAACCTGGCAAAAACTGAGCTTCTCGTCCTCCCTGCTAATCTGTCTCCACAGCACGACTTCCCTATCCAGCTAGATTCTTCCTCAATCACCCCATCAAAGTCGGTCAGAAATCTTGGTGTAATCTTTGATGACCAGCTGACCTTCACAGACCACATTACAAAGACAGCTCGATCATGCAGGTTTGCAATGCACAACATCAGGAAGATCAGACCTTTCCTAACTGAGCATGCAACACAACTTCTTGTCCAGGCCCTGGTTATCTCTAGTCTTGATTACTGCAATGCTCTTCTGGCTGGACTTCCAGCAACTAAACCTCTACAAATGATCCAGAATGCTGCCCAAAAGGGCCCACGTCACTCCTCTGTTCATCTCTCTGCACTGGCTACCACTTGCTGCTCGCATCAAGTTCAAGGCATTGACACTTGCTTACAGATTGACCACAGGCTCAGCTCCATCCTACTTTCACTCGCTCCTACGAGTCTACATCCCTAGTACGATCAATCAATGAGCGACGGCTCATGGTACCTTCACAAAGAGCCACAAAATCACTCTCCAGAACATTCTCATTCACGGTTCCATGCTGATGGAACGATCTGCCCACCCTCATTCGCCTGACAGCATTCAAAAGACAACTGAAAACTCATCTCTTCCGTGAGCACTTAACTTAAAAAATAAATAAATAAATAAATAAATAAAACCCTTTAAATCCTCACTTGTCTGGTTTATGCTACTCTGAGCAATGTTTGAACTTTGTATTTTGAGCACTTCTTGGGTTGTTATTGTCTCTTCATGATGACTCGTTTGGTTAGTCCTCAGATGTAAGTCGCTTTGGATAAAAGCGTCTGCTAAATGACTAAATGTAAATGTAACTGTATGTTGGAGATTAGATCAATCATGAGAAAATAGCTTTTTCCATTAACTACTAGAGTAAAATATTAGATATTAGTATTTAGATGGTCATCTGTGCACTGCATAACAGCACTCACATTAGAGAGTACAGTAATGATATGAAACTACACTGCTAACAGTTCTGACCAAATGAGGAAAAGAGTAAGAACACACACACACACAGTATCTTCCACTAAAGTGTCTGTGGGTTTTCGTCAGACCTAATTTTTTCTGACATTTAGATCACACAAGTGTGTGAATCAGAGCAGATAACAGATGAACAGATACATTCACATCTATTTTGCAAATAAAAAAAATTCCACCCTTTGTCCCTTCAATTTTTTCCCCTATCCAGTTGGTGTAAATCCTAGTTAAGTAGAAACTTATCTCAAACTTTTGACAACTTAATCATGCCTGATATTATTTAAAGCACTCATGATGTTTTAGTTTGCATGTCCTTATTAATGTTGACTGCTTTACTCAATACTATTTCTGATAAATTTAAATCACACAATAAATGAGGTCTTGTTGCAGTGTTGACATTATCTCTCTGTCTCAGGGTTTAATGCTGTGTGAACAGGAAGGAAGGCGAGAGAATGCAAGCACAAGTGCAGAGGGTGGATAAAGGTAGTGGGGCTTTCCAGTGCATTGGGCAGAAAAGAAAGAGTAACAGAGGGGGTTAAGTGTGTGTGACGTAAAAAAAAAAGAGCCACAAAGGAAATTGAGAAAAAATGATTCCCCTGCCTGCAGCCGATGAACGGAGACACCGCACAAAAAGATAGAGCAACTGCGTGCGACAGACAGACAGAAGAGAAAAGAAGAAAACTGACACAATAGCGCGGGTCAGCATGACCGAATAATCATCAATTCCTTGGTAACGTAAAAAGAAGAATCAAGATTTTCAGAATCACTTCAAGTTTTCATTGTTTAGAGGACAGACTTCATATGACTGCACACAACTATTCACATTGAAAGGACCAAACCGAGACAACAGTGAAAGTAGCCGAGATGGGAGAAGTGAAATGTCCGAAAGGTGAGATTTTCATATCCTTACTGTACAAACTACTTTGATTTAAAAAGAGCTGAGTTTTTGTCAAATTCTATTAAAATCGTTTTTGATACATATAATGTACTGGGAATGCTGTTTTTTAATAATATTGACATCTATAACAGTGTGTTTTAAACATTGTATCATTTATAGTTGGTAAAAAAATAAGTTTTTTTTTACTTTAAGCAACATCATGAAAGCAGTTCACCAAACAATATGTGAAAAAGAGCGATCATGATCTTTCTTAACTGCGATGTTTTACAGCGACAAGATCATTAAAGTACATTTATATTCATTTCGTTTTGAGTTCTATGCTAATTTAGTGGCATAACTTCCCATACAATTGACTGTAAGGCACGGGGTATTATTTTTACTCATCATATTTTCATCAAGGTGAAATCAGCCCACTAGAGTGTTATGCAGGACATCCTGTACTGTAACCCTGCTAACAAGAGAGCTTTTGATGGTTCCCGGAATTTATGCATTAACATAAGATCTGATAAGAATGTACAAATGTGTAGGCTGCCTTGAAATGCAGTGTAAGTCGCTTTGGATAAAAGCATCTGCCAAATGCATAAATGTAAATGTAAACATAACGCAGGATATTCTGTATTAATTTGAAATAATATTAGATGGAATAAAAAGTATGTATGCACCACATTATATAACAAAACAGCATTTAATTTAATGAAAGATAGCTCAAGGAAAGTTCTCAAGCAAACCATTTCACAATAATAAGCTTATTTTTTCAATTATAAAACTATATATAATTCCAGAGGTGTAAAGTACAGGGGTCAGAAAGTAAAAGTCCTGCCATATGTTTATCCCACCCATGAACTCAGCAAGCTGATCTCCTGGCTGAAAAACTGTGCTAATTAGAAAATCCAGGGGATTGGAACAAAATACTGAGGTGGACTTTTATTTTCTGAACCTGGACGTTGCACCTCTGTATAATTCAAAACAAAGCAAAAACATTTCTGGTTCTCAAAACATAGTGCATGATGTTCTTAATTAATGTGATAACCTCTGAACTTGAGGAGAACAGAACAGACTTCATTTGGACTTCAACATTTTTTATAATTGCAAAAGCTTCATTTGATTGCATATTCTGCTTAGTTTTCTTTTATCTACTGCAATGAAATCTATACCATGTAAAATGATAAAGTAATATTCTGTCATCACTTACCCTGTTTTAAACATTGTATCATTTATAGTTGGTAAAAAAATAACCATTTTATAATAACCCAAACAAGTATATGACATTCTTCGTTCTACAGAAAACAGAAGACGATATTTTGAAGAATGTTTCATTGTGTTTTTAGTCAACGAAAGTCGAAGGGGTCCAATATTATTGTTTTGGACCCCATTGACTTCCATTATATGGGTAAACAAACATAGAGACATTTTCCAGATACATTTTAGAGTCACTGATATGGTGGTGGGTTGATTATTATTCAGGACATATCCAAGCAACTTCAACAAATCACTGCATTATTGGCTTTTAAATACGTAGTTTATAAATTATAGACTTCTCTTGTGATTGTGGAGTATTGTGCAAAAACTGAGCGCTCTTTCTTTTTCAGGGAAATATTTGGATGCCAAATGTAATGCCACATCAAATCCAGTGTGTAAAACCTGCCCACGTCATACATTTACTGATGAGGAAAATAACATGAAGGAGTGTCGGGCCTGCAGGGAGTGCACCAGCAGTAATTTCACATTCATTTACTCTTGTTTTTCGTACAATTAATGTTACATGTCTTTTTCAGGGAGTAATGTTTTTTTGTATGTGTGTGACAGACAGTAACTTGGTGATGGTAAAGGAGTGTGAGGCAGACAAAAACACGGAGTGCAAGTGTAAGCTTGGATACTACTGTACACAGACAAGCGATTTCCACTGCGATCACTGCAGTCCTGTCTCCACGTGTCCTCCGGGAAAAGGGGTCGCCAGTCAGTGTATGTATCTACCTTTGCTTATGTGATGCAGGGCTATTCAGAAATTTTGATGCGACAGACCTCCGAATATAACAAAATAAATAGATTTCTTTATATTATTCAAATATAAAGACATCTATTTTTTTGCGAAAAACTAAACTATTATAAATATGTGTAAAAATATTTTCTGGAAAATATTTTCTATATTGAGTTGACACTATGTTTTGTATCAGTCAATGAATTAAAATAATATGTTACAAGACACACACATGAACAGACACATTATGAACGAACACACACACACACACACACATATATATATATATATATATATATATATATATGATGTCAATTTGTAGACCAATCCAAATGGCAAATTTGCCAGGGGTCCCTCTGGAATTTCCAATGGATTTTTACAATTGTGAAATATAATCTGTGTTTGACATTACTAAACTCTCATGTTAATTACATTATGCACTGTCATGCCACAAATGTGAAATCACTCACTGTGCGCTTTTAAAAATCTGACAGTTGCTACAATAGGGAATACAATTGTCCATCCATTTAATCAAGTAGCCTACCTTAACTGATCCTTATAGTAGCTGTAGCACTTATTTAGTGGCTTGTTAGCCATGCACTTGCTTAAATCCATCCATCCATATATCCTTCGATGTGTCTTCCTAAGTTAATGTCCTCTTCAGTGTGATGACTCTGAAAACTGGTTCAAAGACTCTGAGAACTAAGGGAAACTAAACCTGAATTAAACCAATCATGAACTGTGTGAAAATAACACTCCGCTTTGCCACAATATCCACAATGACTCATATATTGACAGGTTAAAAAATGAATCAGTTGGGTTTGCATTAAAGCATGTGTTTTGTGGCTATACCTGTCGGAAGATCTGCAATGGTTTGAACAGCTTCCATAGAGTGTTCGGACTGGAACATGTGGCAGGGGGGCTGTTGAATAACTGAAGTTGTGTTGCAGACACGTTCCAGAGAGACACTGTGTGCAGACCCTGTCCTGTGGGAACCTACAGTGATGTGGACGACTACATTTCCAGCTGCAAAAATCATACAAGGTGAGAGTCAGTTATAAGGTGCAGTTTATAAACATTTGCAAACTAATTTTTCATCACATGATTTAATAGAGAGACTCAAATTTAGACATTTAGAGCAGACTGAGAGAGAAACACATTACTTATAAATTCAAAAAATCCCCGACACACAGTGTATGACTACAGTATGAATGACTATCATATTTTTAAACTGAAATGATCTCTTGTGAAACTGTTGCTGGAATCAGAAGCTTCTGACTCACATTAATGATTATTCCCAAGTTATACAACCAAAGATGTCTTGTCTTCTGCTTTTTTTTTAGTAACATGTTACAATAAGGTCTCATTTGTTAACACTATGTAATGCATTAACTAACATAACCTAGTTCACGGTGCATTAACTAATGTTAACATAGCCTACGATACAACTTTAGATCTTTAAGTCGTACTAGTAAATGTTGAGATCAACATAAGTTAAGATTAATAAATGCTGTAGAAGTATTGTTCATTGTTAGTTCATGTAAAGTTGACTAAGTTAATTTCACCCAATTAAGGTGATTACCTGTTTCTATGTAAAGTTGACTTTACTCTACATTGGTATTGTGCCTGATGAAGACCTGATGGTCGAAACGTTGTGCTATTAATAAATTCATTTGGAGCAGCTATTTTCAGTGTGCGGACTTCACGCTTATTTTTTTCGTTTAAGTTCACTAAGTTGCCAGTTTTTCTCTACATGTAGCCTATATTTTAATTTTTCACCTATAATACTCTTTTCTATTCCACCTCCATCTGATATAAAAAAGTCAGTGGGGGAATACATAGCTTTTACTGTACGTAATTAACCATTACTGGTTTTTACGTAAACGTGTCTTGTGTAATTCTCCTACACAAAATAAAACCGCTTCCATTCAAAACAAAAAGTATAGACGTACAATGTGTAGGAGGGTGAGTGGGTATCGCTTCCTTTCTCAACCTCTCTTTGGCATATTAATACACACAAATATTTCTTTCCCTTTTTTCTACACGTACAAAATGTAGGCCTGCCCACAATTCAAAAATATATCATTACACTCATACATAGTAAATATTTTCCTGAGCCTAGCTCAGTCGCTAGGCTATATAAACTTTAGAAGTATAAACTTTTATAAAGTTTCCAATTACTTCCTCTGTCATTTTACAGTTGTGATGATTTAGGTCGAAAAATAGAGGTTCCTGGGACCAGTAAATCAGATGTTGTGTGTGGACCTATTCAAACATGTACTACATGTAAGTCTCTATAGGCTACCTTTGTTGGAAATGTCACCATGTTCAATGTATTTTTTCATAATCAATCTAATTAATTTATTTAGTTGACATGTCTGTGCCACCTAGGTCACTTTTTATTCTTTATTTCAGCTTGTTCTTGGGTGTTACCTGCTAGCCTGTGGGCAGGGATCATTGTTACTGCCTTAATTGTATTTCTGGTCCTGTTTATAATGTATTGGAGAAACAAACATCAGTCAAAAAGATCAGGTAAGTGTAACATAGCCTTTTAGCTCTCTTATCGTGAAGCCGAAGATATGTTAATTTGTGAATATAGGATCAAGTTAAAGGTGCAATAGGTGATTCTCTACAAAAAAAATTTTGTTATGCTGGTTGAAAAGTCTCCTCATATCCTGGTAGCAATTACTATGTTAAGTGGTCAAAAAAATATTTAAAAATAGATTTTCTGTGGAAGTAGTAGGACCATAAAATGTTCATTCAATCATTACATTCGGTCCGAATGAAATGATACCATCACATATTGCAACTTTAATGTTCACGATTTACAATCAATTCTGACAGCACATTTAGACAGCGAGAGAGCGCGAGAAAGTGCAAGAAAGAGAGGTGAAGTTATGCGGAATGCCCTTGCTTTCTAATTAGCAGATGTGCATGTGCTGCATCATAAGAATAAAGCCAGGAATCATCAGCATGAAAGTGTGAAAGAACAAATCTAAGGACAATATACAGATCTGATATGAAGTCAGCTTGACTTTTTTGACCACTCAGCTGAAATGCTGTAGTAGATATAAGACTGTAGCGTGTTCAGAGACAAGCATTTCTACTGAGTGGTCAAAAAAGCCTTGACTTCATATCAGATCTGTAGGTTGTATATCTAGGCTGAATTGTCCTTAGGCAAGCAGAGTTTCGCATTGACATACATAAAGGGTAATTTACGTAGCAGTAACAGCAGATTTGATTGATAGGAAAAGCCGAACCCTGTCTCTAATGCTAGATGCATACCTACAAATGCTATGCATAATGCTTTGCCTGCAGTCATTGAGGGATGGATAAACTTGCTCTGAAATCCTTTACTAATATCTAAGTACATTTGCTACAGTCACTGATTTTCAGCATCAGGGTGAATGTACACAGTCAAAACATTCATGCTGTGTGCTGTCAAACGCTTTCAGCTTAGTGCACAAGATGCCTATGATTAAACTGATGCTGGTAAACCACATCCTATCAGTTCACATGCTCACAGACTTGTATGTGGTGCAAACTGCACAACAATCTCTCTTAAAAATACCAGACACAAACTACAGAATACTGTAAATGAAACTGCAAATCTAACAACAATCAACAATACATGTTAAATGTGAAGGAAATGTAATTGTATATATTTTATATGTTGTGCATGTGCGTTTTCAGAGATTTCTTTAAACCCCATCTTGCCAGTGCTTCCTCCAGACATCCTGAAATACCCTGCAGACTTTGACATGGAGAAATGTGCAGAATGTGACAAACATAAAGGTAAAACTCTTCGTTTTCCTCGAGTTTCCCTCTGATAATCACACACATATGCAAAAAAAGGCATTGTTCCTCCTTGCACATGGACAAAATATATTCCATTATTTGTTCATACACACCTCTCTGTAAAATATGTATTTACATCAGGGGTCTTATGGACAGGAACAGGAAGATCTATTGTTCTATCTCAAACTATTTTTTGTAGAAATGTTTTACAATATGTATTTTATTGTAGGAACCGCTTAAAATGCAATGCAAACAGTTATGCATACATTATTATGTAAGAGGGTGTGGGGGATAAAGTCCTGAAAAGGTTAAAGACGGTATACATATTAACTCACAGTTCTCAAGTGTCATCTTTAGTCATTGACATTATGACATCCGAGCTGTAAAGCAGACAACAAATATTTAGAAAAGCAGCTTATTCTACTAGTGAATAATATAAATGAATTTAAACACTAATGAGAGGACAGAATGCTTTTTGAATATATTTCTAAAGCTGTTACCTGGAAATCTCACACAGCATTCTAGAATCTTACCAAACATTCCTACAGTATACAGTCAGGAGAGTTTCGAAATGAGCAATACCAAATTTGTGATGACTTCAGAGATGGCTTTGCGTCACTGCATAAAACGATTTGCAATTTCCTTTGAACTCGTCTGATCTTATCAACTCACAGACAGGAGGATATAAAACCACATAGACATCGTCTTTCACTGCATGTCAAATAATCTAGTAGGGTTTTGCTGTTTTGGCCTCCCACGACTCCTACACTTTCCTCCTTCATTAATTTGGTGCGGGCGATAAAGTTTTTAATGTCTCTGCTAAACATGGGGTCTGAATCGCATCCTGTTCTAAAACCATGGTCATATTGTGACGACAGGTACAGAGTTTCCGGTTTGTACAGTAAGCAGATTTTTTGGTCTGATATCATAAGGCGAATTTATGAGAAACTGATTACACCTGCTCTGGACATTTTGCACATATTAGTGACATTAATTGGACATTTATTGTTAGTCACATGATCCTTCAGAAATAATCGTCATTTAATGCTGTTGAAACAGCTAAGACAGACTACTCTGGTTAAAGAATATCTAAATATATATGTATAAGAATATCTGAATAAGCATGTAAGGGAGTTTAAAATACTTACAAGTTCAAAGAAAACAAAAATGATTAGATATTGAGATGAGCCAATCACTGATCAAGTTTTCTTTTTTTTTCTTCCTCAGCTGAAAATTACACAGACGTGGACAGTAGCATACAGTGTAAAGGAGTTATGCCAATGATGATGTCAGAAAAATACAGCCAATCAACTGCCGCAAATGGATATACAGAAAGCACGCAACACTTCCTTTATCAGTCGCAGCCACAGGAGTCTGAATGGAACGATGAACTTTGACACATTAAGTGTGTATGTCAAGTTAAATTTGTAATTATGATTAACACAAAATAGTTAGGGGAAATACACGTTTGACAAGTTGATGTATTGGTTTGTATGTTTTTCGATACCTAAAGGCAGAATATAAGATGAAAAAGTTCGTTATTTTCAGTACTCACTTAAAACTGCTCCTCCCCCCAAACGAATCGCTTGAAGTCATAAGAGGGAGACGTCTCCCCAGGTCGCTGAGAAAGTGAGTTTGTGAGCTGTGTTGACAATTGTACGAGTGATAGAGCGAGGGAATTAGTGATTAGGACATTTATTTATTTAGTTAGTTATTTAAGTTAGGTAGTTAGTTAGGTATACGCAGGCGTATTTTCTCGATAGTGAATTACTGCGTTTGTGCTGGGTGCAAAAACACCGTTAAAACCGGTCACAGAGTCCACTTTTTAAAAAAAAAGCAGGTCTGTGTTCCGTGCCTGCATGGGTCAACTTTGTTCGGACCAAACGCGCTGACTTCAGTGCTGCTTCGGTATCCAAGACTTCAGTCATTTGCAGCGCCCATTTATTCCAGTTTTTATGTTTCCACTGTTCGATCGCACTCTCTCTCTCTCTCTCTCTCTCTCACTCACACACACACACCAACATATTCCAGCATTGCAATCTTGACATCGCAGCCTGTTCATTGGCCCTGTCCCAATATCCGCACTTGCGCCCTTGTGCCCCTCAATGCGCGTTCTCGTTAAAGGGTCACTCCACCCATTTGCATTAAGAGGTCCATTGTTAGACAACCAGTCATACTATTGAATGGTCGTGCAACATTCTTTCATTTTCCCCTGAGACGAGAGAAATCTACTATTTACCTTTTTCACTTCCTCCTACAATGACGCAAAAATCGTCATTTGACGTCATTGTAGGAGGAAGTGTAAAAAGGGGGGATTTCTGTATAGACTACAAGCACAAATTCCCACCCTTTCAAACCCGCCCATAGGGGGTTGGACCTAATGCGCTAACAGAGCTATCACAGATCAGTGGGTGGGACTTCACTCTTGCAGATACTGAAAGCAATATCAGCCATCCTGTTTATAAGCTAAGCTAACAAGCGCTGTGGATATAGGAAGTTACGACAATGACGGAAGAAACTAAACATGATATGGAAGAAGAGGATTTTGAAATTCTGCTGCTCGAATCCGCTGTTCGTGGCTATCTTTACGAGCCCCAATATAGTGAAGAGCAGCTGAGGCTGATGGTGGAACAGGAGGCGGCTGCCTGTCGCGGACGAGGAGCCCGGGCTGGCTTGAGCTGGGCGGACTGCTGGTGCGTGTGCTCTCGCTGTGCGCTACGGACACAGATAGAGTCCGTCTGCTGCAGAGAATTTCAACAAGGCAGTTTCTCCTGGACGAAATCTCTGAATCAGACGACCACACGGACGTTTGTGTTGTGATGTGAACCATCCTAGTTTCGCCTGACTGAACATGCAGGTATCATGCAATAATTCACCATATAGAAAGAAATACAAACGAGTAATTCACTAATGAGTTTGCCAATGTAACGGGGTTCGTTGTTGTGGGAAGAAGGAGGCTGGAACCGGCGAACATTTAAACGTTTTAATAGTAAAATAAACAAATACAAAACAAAAGTATAAGCCAGCTGGCCACACACAACAGAAACAAAACATAAAATCAGGCCTGTTCCTTTTGTGCTTCCGCTCCTCCGTGAGAGATATGAGACCGCTGCACAGGTGCCATTCATTATCACTCGCGTCGTCCTCTCACGTCCCTCGCCCTCGTCCTGCTCGCCACAACTAACTAGACATTTTTTGTGAAATGAATTTTAAACTCATTTGGCAGCTAGCCTTCTTGTAGACGGAAGAGCGATTTCTCTGATGTTTGCGCTGTTCTGGATTAGTGGGAGTGGCTTGCGGAGCTGTGCAACATGGTGCATTGTGGGAGTTGTTGTCTTACATACAAATGCGCCCCAAAGTTATTTTCTGTCTTTTCTCGGTCAAGAGGGCACCAAATTTAAAATTTCTTTTACATTTCGACTACATATATAACCCACTTTCAATAAAGATTAATGTTGAAATGGGTGGAGTGACCCTTTAAGGGGTGCAAGACCGTAGGGTGTCCCGATCCTCTAATTGTGTTCTCCAGGGGTGATCATAAGGGCACTTAATGTACCCCTTTCGCAAGTGCGCATCAGTCAGACCTCACTTTGCTGTGGGATATTACCCAAAATCCTTGTAGTGTTGTGACGTTTCGAACAGCTAACCAATGGGGGAGAACGGTTGCTATGGTGCTCATAAGCCCTGTCCCAAATGGAACCCTAAGCACTCGCGGTCTTCCTCTGAGTCCGCACTTTCGCGACGTAACGCCGCTTTGAATGTCGGGAAGAAGTCTGCTGTGGAGTCCGCATCAGCGCGGGCTCGGCAAAAGTGCGCATCAAGGGCGCAAATCGACCGCAGAGGGGGCGCTCGCGAGCACCCTTCTGAGATCTAAAAATGACAAATGGGACACACTGCGGTCTCACGGACTTAACGGACACGCGTACGCGGCAGCCATTGTAAGTCCACAAGACCGAAAGTGCACATGAAGTGTGCCATTTGGGATTGGGCCATAGACATGTCTCTATATGATATCTATGATGGTGCTGTTCGGGAGCGGAAACTCCGAAGATAAAGGAAGCCGGTGTGGTGAAGTGTTTTTCAAGGCGCGAAATTTAAAAATATTAGTGTTATTGTGTCACGAAATGTCGTTTTAAGAGTTTTTCAGTCGAGAATATAGTTGTTTAAAGCTCAAATCTGGGGTTTGTTTATAAAGATAGCCCCTATTTAAAATTTTAATCTGACGTTTTCGGAGTTCCAGGTGATCACAGCGCTCAGCGCTCATCTAACCCGCCTGGAACAGCCTTACCTTGGCTAGTCATTCTGACGTTTCCCCGCGGGCTCTGTGTCTAGCGGTTAAACATGAGCTATAAATCGGCTTGTGTATATCTAACGGGCGATCTTTGGTCTCATTAATCTATGATTTGTTCCCTGGCAAATCGTTTTGGCTGAGGGCAAAGTGAAGTTTCATAACTTTATATATTTAGGCTATTTAACTGTAACGTTGTAACGTTAGCCTGTTGACTTATGTTTGACTGAATCTTTTAACTTGCTTTATTTCTTGACTTATATAGCTTCTCATACTTTTTAGGCTACTTATACTTTAATAATGGCTATTATTGATCAATAAAACTGAAATTTAACAAAAAGAGACAGGGTTGTGTCATTTTATTTCATATAGCCTATAAGACTATTTTAAAGGAGCTGTATGTAAGATTGTGGCCAAAACTAGTACTGCAATCACTGTCAAATTACTGTAGTATCCAGTATCCCCTCCCCCTCCTCCCTGACTCGAGGTTGCCAGATCGGCTGCAGGATCCAGCAGGAACGTGACGAGCTGCAGCTGTGGTAACTAGAGCAGAGCTGGCAACCCGGATGCCGCAACACTACTGACTTCGTGATTGGTAGATAGGTGGAGGGTGGAGCATCAGACCAAAACACAAGATGACAACATCAACATCAGTTGAGGGCTGCAACTGCACTTTTTAAATGACAATATCCTGGCCAGACTACTGTTGTCAGTGATATAAGTATTTGAAATGTACATGATTTCTTAATGTCTGGTGACATTTCAGGGCCATTTTATGATTAATTGAAATAAATTTCTTACATACAGCTCCTTTAATATATAGCCCATATATTGTAATAACCTGGCAGTCAGTGCTAGCAGCTGGGTGCATTATGGGTAATTGTTTGTTGGGAGTTGATTTATGTGTTAATAAAGTTATGTGTGTTTATGTTCAAGTTGGATCAGGTGTTCTTGGTTCATTTACTGCCTTATGTAAAAATGTGTCTCTCACCGTCATGGAGAGAGATGTGTAAGGCAATAGGGCCTTGCCTGAGTAGTTCTTTCTGTGTTCCGAATGAAAAGAGGAGAAAGACAATATTTTTGCCTCCTGTTGGTTTAACCAATGCTCCACCTACAGAAACTCTCCTGGTCGTGCTGTGTATGGGACACGAGTGTTCATATCTCGTGCTTATAATTAGCATAGTAGAAGTGAAAACTAGCATAATTTAGCTCCGGTTAGTCCCACACTTAACGGTATAACTACCAGTTATTACAGTGGTGTCAGAAGTGGGATTTTAAAAGTCGTTTAAATGACGCCGTTATGGAGCAAAGTATAGGCGAATCAGAGCGTGCCATTTACGAGAACAGCATCATGCTAGAGCGTCTGACGAATGAGACGACGCGGAGGAGCAGGGCTCCGCACCAGCCTGACGGCGCCAGCATTCACCGGGCCGTGTACCGCTCTCCTAGTCGCAGGCAAAACGAACTTCCGGTCGTCTCACCGACACTCCAAATTAATGGGCGGCCGGGCTCCCTCACACGATCGCACGCTAAGCTGCCACGATATAGCGGGTCAAGGCCGCCCTATGCCAAGGTAATGAGACCGTGCCGCTCCGATTGGGCCGGAGCCGTCATGGAAAAGTTCCTGCCCCCAAACGACACACAAGAGCTGGAGAGACTCAGGGGGAACCCCGGGGGAGTGTTGCAGCTCAGACCAGTGCATCTCAGTCACTACCACCGCACGCACCATCCGCCCCCCCGTCACCTGAAACTGTTGTTGCTGTTGAGGAGTTGGGGCGGCGAAGCAGTGAGCATCTGAGCACGCCGCAGCAGGAGCAGTTACAACACCTATTGGGAGATTTTATGGACATTTTTGCAGCCCGTGAGGAGGACTGTACCAGAACAGCTCTGGTGCAGCATCACATTGACACTGGCACCGCTGCCCCCATTCGCTTGCGCCCCCATAGACTGCCTCCCGCCAAGCGCCAGGCTGCTGAAGAAATGATCCGAGAAATGGCAGCTAACGGCATTATTGAGCCCTCGGACAGTCCCTGGGCTGCACCCATGGTCATGGTGCGGAAGAAAACGGGGGCGTGGCGCCCTTGTGTGGACTTTCGGCGACTAAATGCGGT